ACACACTCAGGGTTTCCTTCTCCTGCCTCTGGTTCTTTCCAGAAACCTTTCAGGACAAACACCTTTGCTGGGCTCATTTCTTCCTACTTACTTCAGTGAGTTCCTTGTCCAACCTCCTGAGTATCCTGAGACACACAGACTGACTCCAAACCTCACACAACCTCAATATTCACCTGGCCCGCTTTCTTTTTTTTCTTTCTTTTTTCCTCTCTTCCTTCTTTCTTTCCTTCCTTCCTTCCTTCCTTTCTTCTTTCCTTCACTAATTAGGGTTTTGGCCTTGAACTCTTGGGAACCCAGTGATCTTCCTGCCTGAGCCTCTTGAGTGGCTGACTACAGATGTTCTGTGCCTGGCTCTGTCTGGCATTTGAAGTCAGTCACACAGACTGAATATGGGAAACTTCTCAGGCCAGAGCTGCTCTAAATCAAATAGATTTGTGTTTCTAGTTTGGGGCTGCATAAACTGATAAGGAACGAGAAAATGCCATGTTTTGCCTTTTCTCATACATACAACTACTTGGAGGCTAGCAGAATTTAAAAAGATTTTTATATTCTGCTATGTTGCCAAATGTTTAGACAGCTCATGGGATGTTTATCTAACAACCTGAAGTTTGGCCAGATTGATTGAACATAATGGATTTTAGTGAGGAAATTTCTAGCCCTGACAACGGCTGTACAGAATCAGATCACAGAAGCTTGTGAAAACTCAGTATTTCCTAAGAGGGTGGCCTTATAACTCCAAATGACTTTATTTTTTAAATACTCATGGTCTGAATATTGAACAACAAAATTTAATTCATAATAGCTATTCATATGCTGACATTTTCTATGTCAACACTTGGAAAAATCTGTCCTGGAGCATAAGGTCAAAACAGTTTACAGTTAAGAGCCACTTTAGAAATAAAGTGTGAAATCTATTAATCTTGTTTGACTGACATACACATTATTTGGGTTTTCTTGTAACTGGTCATTCAGCTCCAACTCCAAAGTTTTCTGAAGATGCTAAGAATTCTGCTCTTTGCAACCCAAATGAACACAGTGAGTAAAGAGCAAAGTACCTGGAGCCCTAAAGTGGTCCCACATGCAGCCAGCCATGTGAGCCAGGAGTAAGGGCACAGTGCCTGATTCTGCTGACCTGGAACTAGGTAATCAACTAAGCCAGCAGGCTAGGCAGTCCCAGCAGCACAGCTGCGCAGTGACAGTCAACCCCTGGTAGACTGTTTTAATATAAATCCTTAATAGAAGTGATTTAACAGCAATTTTCTCAGGGAGTAAATTGGCCTGTGAATTATACTCTAGAAACATAAAAGAAAAATGACTTATAGTTTGGCACAAAATGAAAACCCGAGGTTATCTCAGATGTACTGGTGTGCACTTAGAGATTTCTTTTTCTGGATGAACACACAAGTCAGGTCCACAGGATAAATGGGGACCATGGGGAGGTACTACCCATTAATCTAAGATTTGCTGCTGGGGGGAAAATGAGTGGCATTTCAGCAATATGGAAATGTTTCTAACAGAATATAACAGTCTGTTAAGCAATTTTCCAGTACATTAGGCTAAAATTGCTTAAGATGGGTATTCTTTCTGTGCCAATCAAGTACCACAGCAATCGCAGGCTTATAATGCCCCTAATGTGGAAAGTGCTAGACAAATTGGACTACTTTAGTCATTACTTATGCACTCACTTCCATATGTGACCTGGTATAATCAAGGTCCCTCCCAGTGATCAGCCCCTTTCATTGTAAGATAGTCACTCCTTCTGGCACCTCATGGGAGAATGCCAGTGATCCTTCCTCCTCAAGGCTGCTCTCTCAGAGCATGAGCAGCTTGCCAGCCTTGGCTCTTGTCACCACGTGTAGAGACTGCCGACTCTAATCAGTTCATAGGGATCAAAGGTCATGACCACCCCAGACTATAATGTGAAAATGCTCTAAATGAGAAGCTACTTTCAAAGTCACAGTGTGACCTCTCCCTGCACTCCCCACTTGGCCTGCATAACTTTGTCTTTTGATGGGTTGGGATAGACAGCTGATCTTCCCACGCTGGTCGGAGAAGTGTAGAATTAGAGACCAGCCACCATGCCTGGCTCCTGTTTCTATTCATCTAACTGACCCTTAGAGCTTCCATATTCTGGAGATAAGCTCTGAACGACATCTAGGAAAAGGGTAGGTGGCCTGGCACAGTGGTACACATTTGTTTTCCCAGCATTTGGGAAGCTTGAACCAGAGGGTCTTGAGTTCAAAGCCAGCCTAGACTATGTAGCATGACCATCATTGGGGGTAAGGGGTGAGGGACAGGTTTTGGGTGGAAACCATAGGTATATAATAGGGAATATCAATCTGAATGGATTTAAGAATTCTACTTTAACAAAATACCACTGAAATTGACAGTGCTCCAGGAATGAGAACATTGTAAGATCCACAGTGATGGGAAAAAGGAAGCTCAGGTTTGAATCCTGTATGACCCTGTATGACTTCACTATGTCAAAAAAAAAAATGAGGCTATTAACTTTATAAAAGCTGTTTCAAGAATTAAAATTAGCTTATCAGAAATATAAAGAACTGCTAGCTTCTAGTATTAATCACATCATGCTCCATTTATGGGTCTAGCTGAAGTCCCAGTTCTAAGATGAGTTCTGCAGGAGTACGCACTGAAGGCCTGAGTCTAGTGACTTGCCTACAACCAAGTCATTGCTAAATGAACTCAGCCTGCAATGCTGTCCACTCTGAGACTTATAATAGTAACTTTGCTCTTGACATTGATTTGGGTTTTTTTGTTTGTTTGGGTTTTGGTTTCTCGAGACAGGGTTTCTCTGCGTAGCCCTAGCTGTCCTGGAACTCACTTTGTAGACCAGACTGGCCTCAAACTCAGAAATCCCCCTGCCTCTGCCTCCCAAGTGCTGGGATTAAAGGTGTGAGCCACCACTGCCTGGCAGATTTGGGGGTTTTATTCACCCCTTCACATACTGGAGGAAGGCGGAATAGATTTATAACTCACTTTAGACACATGACTGCCCTCTAGTGTCTACAAGAATTCTTTCTAGTAAGCTATTCAACTGCTCCAGGACTAAGTAGGTGCCTTGCTGAGCAACCATGAGAACCCCCAGAATCCATGTTTACAAACAAAAAACCAGGTATGGTGGCTTGTGTTTATATATAAATCTCAATGCTTGGGGAAGTGTGGAGAGGTGGAGGTTTTTTTTTGTTGTTTTTTTTTTGTTTTTCGAGACAGGGTTTCTCTGTGTAGCTCTAGCTGTCCTGGAACTCACTTTGTAGACCAGGCTGGCCTCGAACTCTGAAATCCACCTGCCTCTGTCTCCCAAGTGCTGGGATTAAAGGTGTGTGCCACCACTGCCTGGCTCAGGTAGAGTTTTTAAGTTCACTGGCCAGCCAGCTTCATCTAATTACTGAAATTAATGCCAGCAAGAGACAAAAAGACAAAGTGAATCTTAATCTTGTCAAGAGTAATGACACCTAAGCCTGACATTTGGCCTCCACATGCACAAACATGCATACACTCACAAAAATCTGGTTACTTAAGATGATACCAGAAGGAATGCCTTTTCCAGGAAATATGGAATAGGTGACACATCCTCCGAAGTTTTATAATAGAAACAGATGCCATGCCCTGCTGATCTTGTACTTGTAATCAAAGCATCTAGCTAGGATCATTTAACCTACTGAACACAGGTAAGTCACAAGTATACAGATACATATTTAAAAAGTACTGGCTGTTAGGGAGACTGTTTAATACTAACACATTTGGCACATTCTCCTCATAACCTCAAGTTCTTAAAAGGGGGGAGAGGGGGCTGGAGAGATAGCTCAGCGGTTAAAAGCACTGACTGCTCATCCAGAGGTCCTGAGTTCAATTCCTAGCAACCACATGGTGGCTCACAACCATCTGTAATGGGTTCAATGCCCTCTTCTGGAGTGCCTGAAGACAGCGACAATGTACTCATATAAATAATAAATCTTAGGAAAAGGGGGGGGGCAAAAAACTTGGCCTCCCTCAGCCAGCATGTACTTACACTTTTATTTTTCTTTTTGAGACAGGGTCTAGGTAGTCCTGAAACTTGTTATGTAGACCAGGCTGGTCTCAAATTTAAGAGATATCCTGCCTCTGCCTGGAATTAAATACATGCATCACCACACCCAGCCCTGCTTATACATACATACATACATACATACATACATACATACATACATATAATAGTTTTATTGTTGTTGCTTTTCTTGCTTTTTGTTTTTAAAGTAGATCCACATTTTCAAGAGAGGGAGAGAATTAGAACCCCGGGATGCAGCGCCTTTGCATTCCAGATTCTTTCCTTCAGGTTTAAAAAAGTAACATATTCGCCAACTCTCTGAAAGATCAGTACATTAACTTGTTCAACTGCAGAACAGCCAATTTCAAATTCAGAAAAGCCACTCAATTCACTCATGGGAAGCCACATGCGAGAATACTGGCTAATTTCTAGGCCTGGCCCTCTGATTAAATTTATGTTTCTATTATTTCCAACAATGCTGCAGTGTTAGGACTTTATATAACTGAGTCACGCCTGCATGTAAACCCCTCACCAGTAACAGCAAAACCCCTGAAAGGCAAGTCACATAGAAATTTGAATTAAATGGCATTTTTTGTCTTTATTGTTTTGAAACAAGGTCTCTCTATGCAGCTCTGGCTGTCCTGGAACTTGCTATGCACCCAAGCTAGCTTTAAGCTCTGTCTGCCTCTGCCTCCAAAGTGGAGACCAAAGGCAAGTGCCACCACATCCAGCAGAAGATTACATCTTGGTGTAAATAATAAAAAATTATAAACCTAACCCAGAAACCACTGAGAAAGGGTTTAAGAATTAGGTGTTCAAAGATGGCTCTACTTGCAGTTAGTAACTAAATACATGGTGGTATAAATTCAGCAAGAAAATCCCTCAACACAGACAGATTAGTGTTATCAAATACAAATATAACTGTTTGAAATTCTGAAAGTAAAACATGCAGATAGTTTTCTCAATTTAAAAAGATTTTTATTTTATTATTGTATTTGTATTTTGTCTGCATGTATGTCTGTATACCATGTGCATGTAGTTTTAGCACAGCCCAGAAGATAGTGTTGGATCACCTGAGACTGGAGTCACATACAGTTGTGAGTCACCATGTGGGTACTAGGAATTGAACTCAGATCCCCTGGAAGAGCAGCCAGTGATCTTAACTGATAAGCCATCTCTCCAGCTCCTCTCAATTGTTTTTTAATTGGAAAAAAATTCAAACCTCAATAGATGATGAGATCTTGCACAGATTTAAATCTGGACAAACCAGGCGCCAATCTGGAACGCTCCCCTTCCACACAGGCTTCTGAGTGTACCAGCATTACTTCATGAAGAGCAACAGCCCACCTCCCCGATGTCATGTGATAACAAGAGCACAGGTTTTTGAACATGTAACTTTAAACTTGTATCTCAGGATCTAGGAGCTTCTGGGACCATAATTTTAACCCAGCCTTCCATAACAGTCTTCTTACTTTCTACCACACAACAGGACACTGCAACAACAGCAACAGACTGCTTTAACCTTCTCACTTCTGCAGATGCTAAAACCACTTCTCCAATATATAAAGGGGCAGGAAATTTAATTTCCTGAGAAAGAAACACACAGCCTGGCCCTGGCATTTTAGTGCCCAGGAGTGCTGAAATAAGTCCATTTATCAAAACTCCATGCACGACTGTCTTTCCAAACTTGGTGTGTTTTGCAAAATCTTCACGTAAATGCAAAGGATTGGTATCTCCCGTTAACTCTGAGAAGGTAGCCACATCCTGCTGTGTGAAGGCTCTGCTGAGTTCAGCTCGGTCTCCAACTTTCATATGCACATACTGAAAACACTGCCCTGTTGGTACCATGTGATGTTGCCACAGTCTTCTCTGAAGCCCTCTCCACATCTTCAGCATCTCCAAATGTCATCAACAGGGGCTTTAGCCTGCTCTGTTTTCCAACTATGTAGACACCCAAAGACACTGTGGAGAGTGGACGTATCTGGAACTGTAAGAGTATTCAATCCAATACTTGCTCCCTGCTATTGCCAGATAATGCAAGGAGAAAGGGAGACACCTATAAGAGAAGAACAGTTAACTAAAGCTGCAGGAAACAACGGGGATCACAGAAACATGTAGATTTCACAGCATGCCCAGAACTGCAGCAGTCACATTTTAAGGGCATCATGGAAGCCCTGGCTGAACAAGTAATCATAAGCCGGGAAACAGCCTGCCAAGATATCTCTGGTGTAACATTCAGTAAGAAAAGACTTTATCACAAGAATTCCAAGTTTGATGTCCAAGTATCTCTAGTATGTGTAACTGTAACTTTTATTCGCCTGATGTAATTGTTGTCTCTGAGGCTTACTGCCATCTGCTAAGTTCAAGGCCTAGTCCTGGAAGCTCTTAGCCTCCACATAGTCTTACCAAGGCCTAGAATGTTTTCATCCTCTGGAACTTACTAATGAATAAGCTCACCCCTTCCTAGTTCTTCCTGAGCTCTGTCTGCCTGATTCAACTCTGCTGTTCTGACTCAAACTCCTCTCCAAACTGACTGATGCAATCTGGCTTCTCGGCTTCTCCTGAATTGCTCCACTTGGCCTCTAACTAACTCTAGGAATCTGTTCGAACCTTCTGCCTCCTTCTGTCTTCTCCCGTGTCTAGCTCGTTCTCTCTTCAATGGGTCACTGTAAAACTCTCCCAGAAAACTGCTTCCTTCTTCCCTTTCTTCTGTGCTGCTCTTTTAAGTAACCTTTTTCCTCTCTTCTCGTGAGAGTTGGGCATAGCCTATCCTATCAAATCTTTCTGACTCAACACTTTGTCTGCCACTCAATTAGACATCATTTCTAAACATGGATGCTTCCTTCTTCAAACTAACTTTACCTTCATTGCTTGGGATTAAAGGTGTGTGCTAAGAGCATGTCCATATTCCAGCCACAGAGATTAAAGGTATGTGCTAAGAGCTAAGCCACACCACAACTAAAAATAGTTTTTTCAGTAAATAACACAATCTCTAGACTCACAGTGAGAGCAAACATCCTGCAACAAGGGTGACTTAAAATCTGACCACTATGCCTCAGTTCCAGAAGCAGATAGACAAGTATGAGACACACCCCAATCCCACCCCATCAGTGCCGTGCTCAGCAGCTCTTGGGACTGTAAAGGGAAAGCTGTTACCTGAATCACTCTGAAGGCACATTTCTTACTCTTATAGGCTCCAAATAAGGTCAAAGAACTCCATAATTTGGCCAGACCACTGTATAAAGATCAAGAAAACATAAATAAAGATTTATGCTGCAACAGCGCTTAGTACTTTTGCTTGTGATGGTTTAGAAATGTTTTTTTTTTTAATTTCATGTATGTGAGTACACTGTCGCTGTCTTCAGACACACCAGCAGAGGGCATCAGAACCCATTACAGATGGTTGTGAGCCACCATGTGGTTGCTGGGAATTGAACTCAGGACATCTGGAAGAGGAGTCAGTGCTCTTAACCACTGAGCCATCTCTCCAGCCCCGAAAGTTTTTTTTTTAATAAACCAGAAGGATTATGAAATAGAAACCTAGAAATTAAAACGTATCACAGAGAATAAAATGAGCCCCAAGAATCTTTTTAAAATGTACACATTTCTGACTTTAAAACTATAACCACCAACTGGGAAACTGGCTGTGATTAATCAAAAGGCTCTGTCTAGTATAACCCCAGGTAAAGGTGTAGTACCAAGGAAGTGTGCTCGAACCCGAAAGACCAGTCAGAGGCTGACCCGATGCAATCATACCAGGGTCTTTAAGCTCAAGCTTGGGCTTAATTCACCACTGCCTCACAAGACAGTCCTGATGGAGGAAAAGCCCTGAACACACATTGGGACAAGGTTTTATAGAAGATGGCAAGCAAGGGGTGAGTGTTTCTGGCCTGGCAAGCATCTAATTGGGGTGCAACTGCAACTAGCCTTTAGCACAGGGAGCCAAACCATAACCTTAACTTCTGTTTTACTCCTAATTGGTGGTTGTTAGGCAGGGGCAGGCTTGTAACCTGGAGATGCAGATTTGTTGAGGGAGTAACTTGAAAACTGGTACTAGATGCTGATTTGCTGGAGATACAGGTCTTGTTGGGTGGTAGCCTGGAAACTGAAGATACCAGCCTGTTCATTTGAGTTTAAACTTAGGTCAGGATCCCTAAGATGGAGTCTGAACCCAAAAAATGTGGTGTCTCAGAGGAATGTTCATATTAACTCCAGTGTAAATTCCCCAAAAGTGCTCAGGGTTCCAGCCACACACTGTCATCCTGGAAGCGTCTTCACTGTGCTGTCCCACCACTCTCTCTGCCTGTTTTTTATAACTGTCTCAGGGTCATACCTGCTACATATTCTCAAGATGGCTGACAAAGTCTTCTCATCATAGGTGAGAACATCCACGGGTAACGCAGCACCAACCTAGGTATGGAACAATACTATTAGCAGACTTCCATGCTCACTCGCTAATAAAACCAGTCTTCCAACTAACAGTGCTGGTGTTCTTATGTGCCTTTGAAGAGCTCCCACTGTCTGGAATGTTCCTATCCCTTTCATAATACCTCCTCACCTTTGCCTCTGTGTTCAATGTGTTCCTTCTCCAGCTGGTGAGATGGCTCAGTAGGTAAAGGTGCCTAGTACAAAGCCTGATGACCCAGTTTGATCCCAGGACCCATATGGTACAAGGAGAGAACTAACACCAAGCTGTCCTCTGACCTCAACACACATGCACACAGCACATTTATGTGTCCCAATACACATACACACAAAGAAAGAGAGACAGACAGACAGAGGTTTTTTAAAAAGCTCCTTTCCTATTCACAAGATCAATCTACTTACTGCGTTCTTTTTTATACCAGACTGTATACTTTCCTTGTCCATAATCCTCCCCTCCTTGTCACCCACTATTTAACAAGACAGCCCAAGGGATAGAAACCGTATCTTACTTAACGCTAGCTCCTGAAACCACATTTTTTGACATATACTGCAGGTTCTATTTTTTTAATTTGTTGCAATCTATAGGGACGTCCACACTCTTCCCTCAGCCTCCCACAAAAGCAGCATCTTATGTAACTACAGTGCAGGATCAAAACAGATAACTGGTGTTGACACAACCGAATTTACTTAGACCTGACATTATTTGTATGCATATATATTTATGTGTTTGCTTCCACGTAGGCAACTTCTTGTAACTACCACCACTACCAAGATAACAACCTGAACCACCACAAGACTCTTCCTATTGGTCCTTTATTACTTATACCCACTAATCCCTGACAACTACTTTCTACAGGTTATGTTGTAGGAAGAACATTATATAGACAGAATTACCCGGTAACTTATCTAGGGTTGGCTTTTTCCATTTAGCTTAATTTTCTAGAGCTTTGTCTAGCATTGTCCTTTTCTCTGATGATTACAGTCCATGATATGAATATACGATCAGTAAACAACCCATCCATTAAAGAACAAGTGTGATGTTGTGTACCATGTGATGCCTGGTGCCCGAAGAGGCCAGAAGAAGAGAATAGGTCCTAAGGAGTAGAGCTATAAGACAGCTAGGTACCACTATGTGGGTACTGGTAACTGAACTCGGGTGCTATGTAACTGCTGGAACCTCTCTAGGCCAAGTACAGGTTTTTGTTTAAAATTATTTTTTATATTTACTTATTGTGTGACTGAGTATCACGTTCAGAGTATGTGCCCTGATGTGTATATGGAAGTCAGAGGACAACTTGAAGAAGTCAGTTCTTTTCTTCCACCTTATGGGTTCCAGGAACCTTTACCTGCTAAGCCATCTCACCTGTCCATGTGTACAGGCTCTCATGTCAATGTAAGTTTTCAGTTTTCTGGAGTAAATACCCACGAGTACTATTGTTGAATCGTATGTTACATAATTATGTTGCAGTTGGTACACGTGCCGCTAGTACCCTCATGTATTTTCATGTGCTTCTTTGCCAATTGTACTCTCTCTAGTGAAATGTCTGTGAAAGTTTTAGCCTATTTTATTCTGACTGTTTTCTTATGATTGGGGATCCTTAGAGTGTGATGGGGTCTTGCTACATATGACCTTGATCATCCAACTGAGCCCGTCTAGAGCTGTGATTACAGGTGTAAATCATTATACCCAACACTATTGGGTTCTGAGAATTCTAACAGCCTAGATAATACTTCTTTGTCATACAGTTTTCAAATATTTTCCCCAACCTATATCTCATCTTTCCATCTTCTTAACACAGTCTTTGCAGAGTTTATTTTATAAGGTACATGGAAAACTTGAACAGAATAAATCAGTCAGGGGCGTTCTTGACAATCAACCCTACCTGTGTTCTTTGCCTCCATTTCCACATTTCCAAAGTTCAACTTCTGTTAGGTGAACGCTCAGAGCGAGCTGCTCCAAGTGCTGGTCTGTGACAGGCTGAGAAGCCCATCAGAATGTCAGCCAGCATCACTAAGCACAGTTTGCTTCTGCTCACACTCTTAGATTTTTCCATTGCTTTAAGGTTTATTTATTTTTACGTGTGTTTTCCCCACGTGCATGTGTGTCACTACACATGTCTGGAGGTCTGTTTCCCCACCTGCATTATTATGTATGCGTGCCTGTGCCGCTGCAAGTGTGTGGAGGTGAGAAGACACTCCCAAGAGCTGGTTCTCTCCTTCTACCATACGGCTTCAAGGGACTGAACTCAGGACATCCTGCTGTCCCTTCACTGTTTTATAAAGAGGTGTCCTCACTGAAACATGCTAGTGATCATGCAAGCCCGTCACTTTTTCAAAGACGGGCATGTCTCCTGGTTACCAGTCTAGACTATAACCTAAAAGCACTGTTCAAGAACAAGCCAGCGCATAATAGGTTTCTTGTCAAACACAGAACACACTAAAATAACCCATAGAAGTCACTATTTCTGAAAGCTGGCTTCTGAAATTTCTAGTACAGCTTTAAAAAGATATATTTCTGTACTTCTTACAACCTGGTCTTTCTAGACTGCGAATGATGTTGCAAGCCTTTAATTACAGGGCTTTGGAGGCAGATGCAGGTGGCTCGGTGATTTTGCTTTTTTGTTTATTTTTTTCCTCTTCCACTCTCCCGCTGGCTCCAGCCCCTGCTCGCTCTGGCCCAAAGGTTTATTTATTTATTATATGTAAGTACACTGTAGCTGTCTTCAGATACCCATATGAGGGCATCAGATCTCATTACAGATGGTTGTGAGCCACCATGTGGTTGATGGGATTTGAACTCAGGACCTCTGAAAGAGCAGTGTTCTTAACCACTGAGCCATCTCACCAGCCCAGCTCTGTGATTTTTGATGCTAGTCTGGTTTACAGACCACGTTCCAGACAACGTTAAGACAGAGGGCCTGTCTCAAACAAATGAACAAAAATGTTTTGTTTTGGTAACAGGTGCAACCAGGCCCAAGGTAGACCATGATTCCACCAGTGAGTTATGTCCTCAGTCTCTTTTCTAAAATTTCTTACAAAAATCTTAAGAATGTTCATCTGCCAAGTGATTCCATACCTCCCCAAACAGGTCTTTCAGGGCTGAAACAAGCAGCTGTTTGAACTGGGCTACATTCAGTGCCACTCCATGTTCTTGAAACTCTCTGTAAAAAATATTAAGAAGAGAAAAAATCACATTAAATGCCATGCTTTACTGGTTCATAAAAAAGAAACAATCAAACAAAAATAGGTTATGTAAAACAGAACTCACAGGCAGACTTTCATGTAGTGGTACTCCGAGGGGTTCTTGTAAACTACTCTTTCATATGCAGTAGCTGGCATCTTCCAACATGGGTACGTATCTACAGGAGTCAAGAGGGCTTGTAACTATTAGGTGTAGTGTTGTTAATGGTAATACTGCATTTTTAATGGCAACGTGTCCTATTTTCTATGTTGGGACTCTATGAGCAAGAAGCCAACTAGATGTAGCCCCTTGGCCTTGGACCAGAACTGTAAGCCAAAACATAGTTGTTTATAATTTATCTGGTCTGTGGTGTTATTACTGGCAACAGAATACGTATGAACACAGGCAGCAATATTATTGCTCTTTTCATGTAATGAGCGGGGAGGGGCAGCCATGTAGCCCAGGCTGGCTTTCTACTTGTATCTCCTGCTTCGTCCTCCAGGGCTGGGATTATGAGTGTATACAGGGCACTCCACACTCAATGCCATTTCAGACACATCTGGGCTCTCAAGGACTTCCAATGTGCTGATCCCCTTTAAGAAAAATCTCCTTCCTCGAATCCATTCAGACCTAGCTTTCCCCCTGGACAGAGGGAAAAAAGCTCTCATTCCCATTTCAATGTCTCCTCCTTCAGGGAGGCGTTCTCACACTTGTTCTGTAGATATCTGTTATATAATGTCTTGTCATTGGGCCCAAGAGACTGGGGGCCCTCTACCTCCTACTCAAATCCACACTGTTATGGAACATTTCAAGAACCTCTCTGGGTCAGACCCAATTCCATGCACTCTTAGATGATGAGAGCCAGAAAAAAGAAGTTGAAAGCAAGAAGCTTCACCCCTCCTTCCTGGGTCCAGCAGGGCACATGTTTAACAAAACACCAACCACATACGTGACTGAGGTGATAGTGATGGTATAGGCCTGGATGCCCAGTGTATCTAGGTGGTTTCAGGACAGTAGCCACAGTCACTTGATGCTCCTTTGTCAGCAACCAGTCTCTATGAGAACCGTGTTTACGTCAACCATTCACCACCTGACTGACACATGCCAGGTGTTTTAGGCCTTGCTTTCTAGCTGAGGCATACTGACAAAGGCAGAGGTAAGTGGTTTAAGCCTGAGACTTAGGGCACCAAAACTCAGGAGCAGTTTGAAGGTAGATACTGCTGGTAATGGTCACAAAACGAGACGCATGACAAAAAAAAAAAAGAAAAAATTAAATGACACAGTGTTTATTTTCCTTTGTTTTGGTTCTGTTTCTTGGTGTAGTTCTGGTTGTACTGAAACTTACTCTGTAGATCAGGTTGACCTCAAACTCAGAGATCCACTGCCTCTGATTCCCAAGTGCTAGGATTAAAGGCTCTGGCATATATATATATATATATATATATATATATATATATATATATATATATATACACACACACACACACACACACACACACATATATATTTTAAGATTACTTAGGGCTGGAGAGAGGGCTCAGCTGTGTAGACAAGCTGGGCTGATTTTCCAGTACCCACAGTGTAGCTGACATCAGCCTGTGCTCTAGTTCCAGAGGATCCAACACTCTCTTTTGTCCTTTCTGGGCACTGTCGCAACATGGTACAGAGACACAATACAGGCAAAATACCATACACATTAAATAAGAATAATCACTTATTTAATTAATTACATTAATGTAAAATAATGTAATATAACGACTTAATCACTTTTGCATAGGCTTGAGTTCTCAGAGTAAGACAGTACTGCCCCCTGCTGGCTATACAGAGATGGAGGTGCCCTCAGAACAGGCATCATATTCAACACTGTTGGCGCCTTTTACTGACTGCAGGAATGTTCACAAACATCTTATTAGCAAGTGCCTCTTACCTGGGCTTTCACTCTTCTGCCCTATCTCTAATCTACACAGCTGCCACTGTGTGTGTGTTAAGCCACATCACAACCGTGCTCAAACACTGCAATGCTTCTCCAGAGTAAGGTCTAAGCCTTCAAGACAAGGCTCTGATCTCGTGTTCAGCCATTCCTCCACGACCTCAGTTCTGTCCTCTGTGAATCAAATATAAGGACATGGCCGCTCCTAGGTCTGGCTGAGGAGAAAGTTTACTGTAGATATGAAGGAGAACACAACCAGAAGTATCTAGAATGATCCAGACTGAATCTGGCCAATAGAACAGACTGGGCCATGAGAAGAACAAGAGAAGAGGAACAAATAGTGTGCAGGAAACAAGAGACCCACCAGGAGACTGCATAATGCATAATCAAAATGGCTGGATTACATAGGAAAGAGAAGCTGAGGGAAGGGAACCGAAGCTCAGGAGCTGGAGAGGTTTAGGGCAGGAGAAGGGGTGTGTCAGCCAAGACCACTCTAACAGGAACTTGTGAATATGGACTGAGAGAACCTGGAGGCTAGCACAGATCGCGATATACTAATAGGCACCAGACATAGGTTAATGGAGAAGCAATATTTCCTTTGCCAGAAATAAGACTCCTTTCAGCAAGTAGGAACTATCTTCTTAAACCCCTGAAGGAATCCTGACATTTGTCTAAATGCCAGACTTTAAGGAAAGGATTTATTTATTTATTTGGCTTTATTTCTCTGTGTATCGGAGCCCTGGAACTCCAGAGATCCGCCTGCTTCTGCCTCCTGAGCGCTGGGATTTAAGGCGTGTCGAAAAACAATTTCTTGAGACCTAACACTCTGGGCCTCCTCCTCCTCCTCTTGGCCTCGGCTACCTCTTCGCAAGCCTGAATCGCCTCCGGATAGCCACGTGTCTCACACTCTGTAGCCTCTTTCACCTTGCCCAATGTGTCCCACTGCCGGTCTTACCTGTCATGGTACCAACCCCTCCTTGCCCAGTTCTTTCAAGTCTTTCTCTTCCCACAGTGCCTGCACTCCAAAACAGAGATCTGTTTCATTCCCTAGTGCTTCTCACGGACTCTAACGAGTATCTTGAACAAATGGGGACACAAAATACAACCAAAGCAATCATTTAAAAGCCGATCCCCCTACTGCTAGAGTAAGACTGTTTCTAACTTTGCTAGATTAACAACCGTTGACTTAGCGCCCACCTCGAAGGTAGTCCGCCCAGCAAAACGGCTGGATCAGCCTTCCCGGCCACCGTCTGTATCCGGGACCTCAGCAGTACGGAGCACGGTGGCGGCTCTGAAGAACCTAAGGCCCGCCACACTTCCACACTGTGCTTGCTCCCGCTCCCGCGTCGCGCATGCGCACCTGCCGCGCGCGGTTAAGTCGTCCCTGGCGCAGAACGAAGCAGCTCACTGAATAACCGCGTTCCTGATTCTTGTACCCTGCTAGAATTCGGCACTGGTCGGAGCTCCCACGCAGCAGCCCAAGTTTGGGTCTGGAAAAATGGTGTATTTACATTTGACTCCGTTTCGCACCGCCCCAAAGACGAATAACAGGACGTGACGTCACCACGCGGCGGCCGTGACTGGAATATTCCGTAACCCGGGGGCGTGGGGGGAGAGAGAACGAGCAGCTTCTGCGCCCTCTAGTGCCCCTTCCCGGAACTGGCGTCAGACACTCTTCACGGTCATTCTACATTCATTCTCAACAGGTTATATCAAACATCTCCTCTCCTGGATTTCTTCCTTCATTCCTTCTTTCCTTCCTTTCTTTCTTTTAAAAAAAGCTTTATTTTATGCATATGGGTACACTGTAGCTGTCTCCAGACACATCAAGAGAGGACGTCAGATCCCATTACAGATGGGTGTGAGCCACCATGCAGTTGCTGGGAATTGAACTCAGGATCTCTGGAAAAGCAGTCAGTGCTCTTAACCTCTGAGCCATCTCTCCAGCCCTCCTCCTCCTCCCGCCCCCCTTTTTTTGCAGTGCCAGGTATCAAAACCATAGCCTCGTCTATGCTAAGCTACCACCAAGCTGAAGCCAAGCCTTGTTATCTCAGGAACATCTGTGTCTGGCACTAAAGACAAGATTCTCTGTCAGTATCTCTTTGTGGCTCCTAACATACACTAGAGGTTCTGTTTTGACATGGAAAGATCCAGCTGCCCCTATGGGTGTAAGTTATTTCACTTCTGCATCTAGTCACCAAGTACTTGTTCAGAATCCGTTATGCACTAGAGACTGTTCTAAGTGCTGGCAACTCAGGAGAATAAGATACGGTCCCTGTATTCGTGTGACATACCATGTATATTTAACAGTAATAATAGCAACTAATATTTACTTGTGGGCCAGGCACTGTACAGAAGATTTCATGTAAGTTATCTAATGGTATCCTCAAGCAACCTTGAGGTAGCTATTATTCCAATAGTCCCTATTTTACAGAAGGAGAATTGAGGCACAGGGAGAGACTAAATTGTTTGTCTTTGATTATGGTTACCAGTGTTATTGCCGATTATCTGCTTTGGCCAATGTGATGGTTTGTATGTGCTCCACCCAGGGAGTGGCACTACTAGAAGGTGTGGCCCTGTTGGAGTTTGTGTGTCACTGTGGGCATGGGCTTTAAGACCTTCATCCTAGCTGCCTGGAAGCTAGTCTTCCACTAGAAGCCTTCAGATGAAGATGTAGAACTCTCAGCTCTGCCTGGATGCTGCCGTGTTCCTGCCTTGATGTTAAAGGACTGAACCTCTGAACCTGTAAGCCAATCCCAATTAAATGTTGTCCTTTATAAGACTTGCCTTGGTCATGGTGTCTTTTCACAGTAGTAAAACCCTAATTAAGACAGCCAGTGATGTCCAGACTGGTCCAGATGCACCATCTTAACCCAACTGCCTTCTGAGGTGGTCTCTGGGTATGGGAACTTGCATGATAGCTCATCACCACATTGCAGTCCTTGGCACCAGTGGTCACACAGCTTGCATTTACTAAAAAGATGAGTGTTGATTTGGTTTGAGCTGGACATAGCAGTGATGGTAATGACATGCCTTGCACAACCAAGCTTGTGCTTAGGTCAGTTGAAGCCTTTTCTGTAATTGGGAAAAGAACCTAATATTTGTTGTCTCCTAAAGATCCCATTCCTGCCTTGGTCATGCTCTGGGATCATGTGGCTTCAGCTTCCTCTCCTTCCTGCTCGAGGAAACAGGGCCTGTTAGGGAATAAGGGGAGAAAGCTAACACAGACCCCAGAGAGTGGCATTTACATTCTCAAAACAAGTTTGTGTTTTGGTAGTTATAGCAGAATTTATCCGACATGCATGTGGAGTGATGGTGCCTAAGCTTGGAAGAAGCCTTTTGTCAGTGACTATTATCTGAGATTTTATGAGGCTATTTTTTCCCTGAAGGATTATCAAAATCTTTGCATAACTCAGTCCTGAGACAGGCCTGGCAAACTAGTAAGTTTCTTATGACTGAGATTTGCTTAGGCCATGGGTCTTTCTAGACAACCCCTAGATCAGATAAGTTTCTGTATGCCGAATTTGACTTGCAATCCTCTAACAATAAAAAGAACTTGAAGCTGAAGCTGGGGGAGGGCAGAGGAGGGAGGCTGGGCCAGAGAGCCATAAGGTCTAGACAAAATGGCAGGGGTGTCTGTTCAAGTCTGGATGGCTGTCTGAAGGCCTGCCCCCAAGAAAACGACTATCAGGCTTATACTATGCAGCTGTCTCTGTGTCTTTATTATTAAACCCCCAAGCAGGACCCTTAAAAGTCCCTGAAATAGGTAGTTGCCAGAACTGTGTTGGAATCTGTTCTCTGTCACCGGTCCAGGTTCTTCCCTTCTTATACAGACAGATCACCAGCAACTTCCTTGCAGAGTTGTAAGGTATCCAGGAAGCTGTAAAGGGAAAGAGTCTCTCTGAGCTAGCAAACTACTCTTGCCAGGCTGTGTGACCCAGAAAAAAATCAGACGCACATGCATTTTGAGTTTCAAAGGACCTTGGTAAAATTTTACTCCTGCACCGAAATCTTGAAAGTGGTGTCTCCTGAGCATGAATTCTGTCAGGGCTCTCTTAATAATCCAGAGTTGAGGACAAAAGAAATACTTTGGAGAAATAAATACAATGCTGGTTAATCCTTGTTTTTTTTTTTTTTTCAATGAAATGCTATTATTTTTACTAGGTACTATGACATGTCATTTCAAATGATATAAAGAGAAAAGCAAGGAAAGCCTCCCTCCCTCGCTAGCTATTTCTCTCTCCAAAGGTGGGCATGCTCTCTTTGCCTCTCCTCCTCCTCCTCCTCCTCCTCCTCCTCCTCTTCCTCCTCTTCCTCCTCCTCCTTCTTCTTCTTCTTCACATTCTCCATCTTTCCCTCCCTTCTCCCCCCTCCCTTTTTGAGACAGAGTCTTGCTATGTAATCTCTGATGGTTTTGAATTTATCATGTAGCTGAAGTCAGACTGAAATTTGTTAATTCAGCCCCTGGAATACCAAGATTATAGATTCGTGTTACCATGCCTGGCTCATGTTTGAGGGTTTTCCCCTGCTCTTCTATCCCTCCTTTTCTGTCTTCCTATCCCCGACTCCTCCCTTCCTTCCACCCCCCCCGCCCCCATTCTTTCAAGGGTCAGCAAGCTGGTCAGTAACAAGAATACCACCTGAAACCCCCTGTTTGAGTTTCTTAAGTCTCCTCCCACAAGTTCAGTGTGGGGTTTTCTCTCTTGAACATTTAAGTGTAACATCACGTTAAATCAAACCACACAAGGGGACTGGCTAGATAGCTTATCAGATAAAGGTACTGACTGACAAGCCAAGAACCTGAGTTGTATCCCTGGTACCCACATGGTAGAAGGAAAAAAGTTGTCCTCTGAGCTCCAGATGCTGTGCATTTAAAACTTTGTGAACACACGTATACACTTAGACATTAAATGGAAAAAAATCTTTCAAATGAAAAAGCACACCTGTAAGGCCATCTCAATCTTTTATAAAAGTTTCCCTGCTAAGATAATTTCAACCAAGTGTTATGAAGGTTCTTCCTAATTGTTAGAGAACGGTCATATTAAGTTAAATACCAAATTGATGTTTGGCACAAAGACAGTAGTGAAAACTAATTTTTGATCTGTTGCAACCAGTAATGAAAACTAATTTTTGATCTGTTGCAACCAGCACTTTGTCGGCGAGTGCTGCTCTTGAAGTCTCTCTCATCTTGGCAGCAGTTAGGTATCTTATAAGAAGCTGGCACGGTTCTTGTCCACTTGAGATATCTGCAGTTGGGGAGTCGGTGAAAAGTTGCCTCTTCCTGTGTGAACATGGTGCGGACCAAAGCAAACTACGTCCCAGGAGCCTACAGAAAAGTGGTGGCTTCTCAAGCCCCCAGGAAGGAGCTTGGCTCCTCCTCCTTTGTCAACAATTCTTCCTCAAGTTCGTCGAGAAAAGCTGAAAATAAGTATGCAGGAGGGAACCCAGTCTGTGTGCGCCCAACTCCCAAGTGGCAAAAAGGCATCGGGGAATTCTTCAGTCTGTCTCCTAAAGATTCTAAGAAAGAGAACCAGATTCCTGAAGAAGCAGGAAGCAGTGGCTTAGGAAAAGCAAAGAGAAAAGCGTGTCCTTTGCAACCTGATCACAGAGATGATGAAAATGAATAGAACTTACACATCTGAATAAATGTCTTCAGTTTACTTACATATTCTAGGATGTAAATTTGGTTAAATGAGTTTGTCCAATTGGCTTGTTGATGAAAAAAAATGAGGCTAGAATTTAACCCTTCAAAAGAAGCCAGCTATAAAAGTGGAGAATTTTCATAATTTGTAAATTTGAATTGCATACTTGAATTTATGTCATATGCTCCTTCTTTTATCTGTTAAGCTTCTTCCTAAAAATCAACATTACCTGATGTTCTAATTACTAATCTATTGTCTTTGCTTAGATTTTTGTACTGATGCCATTTTATGGGCGTTGATTATGGAAATAGTGCCATATAGTTATGGCATGTTTGCTTTAAAAAATTGACTTAGTCTTTTTTACATTAAAAAATTCAATATTAAAAAAAAAAAGAAGCTGGCACATGTTTAATGGACACTTTGGGTTAGGCAGGTGACAATGACTCTTGCAGCATGGTGTCCGTTTACAAAGGACCTATGATTTGCTGTCTGTGCCAAGTCAATTACCATCTGGACTTCACCATCTAGCACTTGGAGGCATGCAGGGCTTCACAGAACACTATTGTCCTGACCACTGCAGCTCACAGTCGCTCCTGTTTCTTTGCTTTTATTCTTCCTCACTCACAATAAACTTAAATTTAATTTTCTCCTATGGAGTCTTATACATCTTAGCTGTCTTGAGTCTCTCCCAAACAACACAAATAGTACATAGTTACTATCTTAGTCAGGGTGACTTCTGCTGTGATAAAAGGCCATGACCAAAAGGGAGGAAGAGATTTATAAGTCTGTCACTGAAGGAAATCAGGGTAGGGACTCAAATAGGGCAGGAACCTGGAGGCAGGAGCTGATGCAGGAGCCGTGGAGGGGTGCTGCTTACTGGCTTG